CTTGACGAGGTCGTACTCCACGCTGGTGCTGCATACTCGAGAACTGGTCTGACGTACACCAAGCACAGCGTCTTGAAGTCGTTTGTGACTATGTGTTCATAGTGGTAGTGTTTTAATATCCCTGTTAATATCCATTTTAGGCATTTCAAATCTTACACACACACACACACACACACACACACACACACACACACACACACACACACACACATTGCCAGACTCCGGAATTGCATCTTGGTCCACCTGCCACTTGGCAGGTAGGTAAATCCTGGGACGAGACAAGCAATCAAAGCAGACAATAACAGTGATCTGCAGTGCTCCCTGATCGATATCGGTCTGGTAAATTGCGTGTTCGGGAGTCTGACACTACCGGGCATTACCAGCGAGCTGCCCGGGCATGTGTTTGTGCGCTCACCCCGCTACACAACCAGTTACACTTGTTCCTATGACAATGGTAGTTATCCTACCTTCTCCCTCCCCCTCCCCGCCCCTCTTCCCTACTTCTTCCTCCACCTTCTCTCATTTGTGGGGAAGCGCTAAACCAGTAGGGGTAATCAGGCTTGATTCAAGGATGAGTAGAGGAGTCAACTCCTTATATCGATAGTCGTTCGCCGGTATCAAGCCCCCCTCACCACTCAAGAGAGGTAAGTGCCTTGATGCCAGCAAGAAGCTCTTGATCCAAGGAGCTGAACCCATCTTCCCTATCCTTGGCTCTAACCTGTTTGCCTTTCATTCCCCAGGCGCTGCAGGACACCCCACGGGTTTAGTGATTCTCAGTAATAATAGTAATAATAATCATAATAGTAACAACAAGCGTAATAACAATAATAATAATAATAATAATAATAATAATAATAATAATAATAATAATAATAATAATAATAATAATAATAATGTGAACCAGGTTCTTAGCACCTTATAATCTGCCTCTTTTGTTTTTCCTCAAAAAAGTGTTTCAGTTGGAATTGATTTATCTACCACCAAGGAAGTTATATTTCTACTTTCGACCTGTTGAACTGGCAGCGTCTGGCAGGGTAGGCGAAGGCAAGCGTCTGGCAGGGTAGGCGAAGGCAAGCGTCTGGCAGGGTAGGCCAAGGCAAGCGTCTGGTAGGATAGGCCAAGGCAAGCGTCTGGTAGGGTAGGCCAAGGCAAGCGTCTGGTAGGGCAGTCCAAGGCAAGCGTCTGACAGGGTAGACCAAGGCAAGCGTCTGGCAGGGTAGGTCAAGGCAAGCGTCTGGTAGGGTAGGCCAAGGCAAGCGTCTGGTAGGGTAGGCCAAGGCAAGCATCTTGCCTTTCTCTGAGTGGCTGTCACCTCACCCCCCGCGCCGCCCTGACATGATTCATGAGTTAATTGTGTTGGTCCGGAGTCACGCCGGGTCACGCACCTTCTGTCTTCTGAAGCTGTGGAGAGATGAATCCTGTTTAATGCGTTTGTTTAGTGGCGACGTTTCGCCCACACGGTGGGCGACTCAGGACTGATTACCTCAAACTCCTTATCTTCCCCCCCCATTCATCTGTATATCGGACTGAGGAAACCACTTGTTAGCCAAACGTTTCCACAATAAAGATTCCCAAATCTTGCAAAAGTATCTAGTCCTTTATCTTGTGTATACTGTGCAGTATCTTACGTCAGGATGTATACTGTGCAGTATCTTACGTCAGGATGTATACTGTGCAGTATCTTACGTCAGGATGTATACTGTGCAGCATCTTACGTCAGGATGTATACTGTGCAGTATCTTACGTCATGATGTATACTGTGCAGTATCTTACGTCAGGATGTATACTGTGCAGTATCTTACGTCAGGATGTATACTGTGCAGTATCTTACGTCAGGATGTATACTGTGCAGTATCTTACGTCAGGATGTATACTGTGCAGTATCTTACGTCAGGATTATACTGTGCAGTATCTTACGTCAGGATGTATACTGTGCAGTATCTTACGTCAGGATGTATACTGTGCAGTATCTTACGTCAGGATGTATACTGTGCAGTATCTTACGTCAGGATGTATACTGTGCAGTATCTTACGTCAGGATGTATACTGTGCAGTATCTTACGTCAGGATGTATACTGTGCAGTATCTTACGTCAGGATGTATACTGTGCAGTATCTTACGTCAGGATGTATACTGTGCAGTATCTTACGTCAGGATGTATACTGTGCAGTATCTTACGTCAGGATGTATACTGTGCAGTATCTTACGTCAGGATGTATACTGTGCAGTATCTTACGTCAGGATGTATACTGTGCAGTATCTTACGTCAGGATGTATACTGTGCAGTATCTTACGTCAGGATGTATACTGTGCAGTATCTTACGTCAGGATGTATACTGTGCAGTATCTTACGTCAGGATGTATACTGTGCAGTATCTTACGTCAGGATGTATACTGTGCAGTATCTTACGTCAGGATGTATACTGTGCAGTATCTTACGTCAGGATGTATACTGTGCAGTATCTTACGTCAGGATGTATACTGTGCAGTATCTTACGTCAGGATGTATACTGTGCAGTATCTTACGTCAGGATGTATACTGTGCAGTATCTTACGTCAGGATGTATACTGTGCAGTATCTTACGTCAGGATGTATACTGTGCAGTATCTTACGTCAGGATGTATACTGTGCAGTATCTTACGTCAGGATGTATACTGTGCAGTATCTTACGTCAGGATGTATACTGTGCAGTATCTTACGTCAGGATGTATACTGTGCAGTATCTTACGTCAGGATGTATACTGTGCAGTATCTTACGTCAGGATGTATACTGTGCAGTATCTTACGTCAGGATGTATACTGTGCAGTATCTTACGTCAGGATGTATACTGTGCAGTATCTTACGTCAGGATGTATACTGTGCAGTATCTTACGTCAGGATGTATACTGTGCAGTATCTTACGTCAGGATGTATACTGTGCAGTATCTTACGTCAGGATGTATACTGTGCAGTATCTTACGTCAGGATGTATACTGTGCAGTATCTTACGTCAGGATGTATACTGTGCAGTATCTTACGTCAGGATGTATACTGTGCAGTATCTTACGTCAGGATGTATACTGTGCAGTATCTTACGTCAGGATGTATACTGTGCAGTATCTTACGTCAGGATGTATACTGTGCAGTATCTTACGTCAGGATGTATACTGTGCAGTATCTTACGTCAGGATGTATACTGTGCAGTATCTTACGTCAGGATGTATACTGTGCAGTATCTTACGTCAGGATGTATACTGTGCAGTATCTTACGTCAGGATAAGCTAGACAAGTAGAATTCTCTTAAACTTTCAAAGAAGTATTTGGCGCCATTTTAACTGATTATATAATATCAAAATAATTCTGTTATTTTTTGTAAAAATATTTATTTTATATATATTTTTTGTTTATGAATATTGCAAGTATGCTCACCTCTCGATCAATATTACAATCACTCACACCTCAACACACACACCTATTTTAAATACACACACACACACACACACCTATTTTAAATAGGTATTATTACCATGGTACCTATTTATGTTATAGTAGTGTTAAACATACATAACCCGGAGGCGACACATAATAGTAGGAAATTAATAAACAAATGTAACATTTTACAACTGGTAATAGTGATTGGAACCTGGTAGGTGAGGAGGAAGGATGGTAGTGATTACACTTGATCTCTACTTAGCAGCTCAACCATGACGGCTTCAGTAAGACACAAAACCTTGCAATGTTAGCAGTGACCACCACTGCAGCCCTACTGTAAGTATTGACAATGGAGTGTCCACATGGAGGCATACTGAACAAGCACAGTCTTCATTATCATCATTATCAGTTATCATCATGGGGGAGAAAGCTAAACCTGTAATTCATAAAACTCCTGAGAAATACATCATAAATGGCATATATCGACTAGTTGATCAGTAAGACACAAGTACAACACTTAGGCTTGTTTGTGTTCGAAAACAATGATACCTGAGTGTTACACAGGTGTTCAATTCACCAGCCTGAAAAATCGGAGGTAATTAGGTTTGTTGAAAAGAAAGTAGCTCTAATTCCTTGGATCAAGAGCTCTTTGCTGGCAACAAGGCATCCCTTCCATTTGAAGGGACTCCTTCAACATCCGTCGATACTTCGTCATGTCTCCTTTACCCTCAGTGGTAGCGATGGATCGTTCCATAAATCCTTTTGCGTCAGGAAAAGCAAATTATTGCACCATAAATCCTTTGCGTCAGGTTTAGGGATTTATTGATGCATAAATATTGGTGTGTGGGGAGCGCAGAGGTGGAAGAGCTGTCTCAAGCGAAGGATGACCTCGGCAACCAGTTGATGTGTCCACCTCCGGGAAGGATGCATCAGTTTAGGTTGACTTCAGCACCTTGCTGCTGCTGCTGCTGCTGCTGCTGCTGCTGCCGCTGCAGGAAATTGTCATAAAAGGTTTGGGCCGAGGAATAAGAAGGTAATTCCAGTTCCTAAGAACAAGACTCACCTGAGTATATCACAGCAGAGAGAGTGCCCTGACATGCGTGTGGTGTGTAAAAGCCGCGTTCTCACTTCCTGTAGAAGTGAGTCTCCTGTAGAAGGGAATCCCCTGTAGAAGGGAGCCTCTTGTAGAAGGGAGTCTCATGTAGAAGGGAGGCTCATGTAGAAGGAATTCTGTAGGAATGAGTCTCCCGTAGAAAGGGATCTCCTGTAGAAGAAATCTCCAGTGGAAGGAAGTCTCCCGTAGAAAGCGGTCTCACCCTCCGCCTGACAGGCCAGAGACCAGGCAGCAATTAGCTGTCGGGGGATCGAGCTTCTACAAACCCTCACCTTCAACACCCACATAGATTTAACACCTTTACATACAGTGTAAATAACTTTCCAATCACCGTCGGGTCAAACAATGTCAAACGTGTTAGTAAATATTTCTTTATTAAAACTACTAGTTACATGCTTATTTTTGTAGTGTTGCATTTATTGCCGTTATTGCTTTATTGGATTAAGTGTTGCAGGTATTGTAATTTTGTCGTTATATTAGTGTTACCATTACTGTAGTCTTGTGGTTATATCAGTGTTGCCATTATTGTAGTCTTGTCGTTATGTCATTGTTGCCATTATTGTAATGTCTATGTTGACGTTATTTTGGTTGTATCTTTTATATGTTGAGTTTATTTTGATTTTAGGATTGTATATGATGACGGTATTGTGATCGTAGCATTGTATGTCATAACATTATTGTGGTTATTGTATTATAATATTTAGGCTGGATAATTGTTGCTATCTTTGTTCCTTACTCATGGACTCACGAAGTGAAGAACAATGAAAAGGCATTAAGTGTACACTTTTATTTTATTAAAAGCTTAGTAGAAAATAGATCATAACACGTGATATCTTCGTACATTCAAAAATAATATATATGGCAGCTTATGGCTACAGTGTAGGTTACTACGAGAACGAAGTTTCGTAGTAAGATAAAATGGGAAATGGACTTCAATGAATGCACTTCACCGAAAACGTTTCGGTCCTGGGACCTTGATCATGCCAAGATCTCAGGAAGGTGTCCATTTAAATGTCCAGTAAAGGTGCCCATAGTGCGTACATTTGTGTCCATTTCTCTCTAAAAGGAAGACCTGATGTAATAACACATTAAATATTTGTTTTCAATAAGTCTATACTGTAGCAAACGTTTGTTTTTTGTTTGATCAGAAAACAAAACTAACGCAGAAGTTACTAAGTTTTGTTAGGTCTTACAGCAATGAGAATGTTGTCTGGCCACGGAGTTTGCCATGTCACAGAAATATCAAAACTGATTAAGTTACGAAAATGGCACGTCATTAGACTAGTAAAATTTGTATTTTGAAAATATATGATGCGGCGTCGGAATTGTCTTTCAAATATTCTCATCACTACTCCAGTTCTCACTCTCGTCAAGAGCCAACTCCGATAAAAAAATGTCTCCTGATTAGGTACACACGATTAAACTCAAGAATAAGTGTACATGGGCACATGATAGAGCCATACACTCTCGTACATCGTTAAAAAATGAAAAAATTATCTGTGAATTAGGGATACATATGTACACACACTTTTCACATCATTACAACTTGCTTTCACCATCACATTGTGAACCACTTGGTGAAAAAGTATTCTTGTATGATTATAGCTAAGTAATATCACGTTCAAGAATGCATCATGGCTGTCACTAACTACAGATTTCAGTAGTAAAAATGAGGGAGTCTCTTTCTTCTGCCAGGAGGATATCAAAGGGATCAGCAACAGAGATGTCGTGGAAAACTTCGAGGTTGTCTTCCAGCAGACATGAGTCGTCAGAAAGGAGGTCCTCGAGGTCGCTAGCACTGCCCAGTGATCCTCGCAATGTGGAGGGTGAGCTGGAGATGTGACTGGAAGTGGAGTAATAACTCGACAAGTGAGACACTTGAGGGAGATACTGCTGAGTGAAAGGCGGTGTTGAATGCTGGTAGGTGAAGGTGGTGACGGAGACGTCACCACCTTCACCTACCAGCTGAAGGGAGTCCTGGAAGGAACAATGCAGTGAACTCTCCAGAGAACACATATCATTATCACCCTCATCCTGTAGCACGTGAGTGAGAGCCCTGATGTAGTTAACAGCGAGGCGCAGAGTCGTTATCTTGGTCATGGAAGGAGATGCTGCCTCAACCTCCATTACGTCAGGAAGAACTTTACGAAGGGATTCGAACGCATTGTTAATTTCCTTCATGCGGTGACGTTCCCTGGCGTTGGCAGTCTTCCTGCGGTACTTTGACAGAGGCGCTGGCCTCGACTTTGGCTTCACCGTTCTTTTGGAAACCTCCTGACGAACTCTCTCCTGTTGCAGCCTCTTAATGATAGTTCTGGGGCGTAGGCCATATTTCTCCTTAGAGGCTGTGTTGTGGGTGGCGGGAGGTAGTGACCGCTGCTGGTCCAGCATCGTCCTGGCCTCGAGATCACTACTTACTGAAGCATCGATGTCGCTTCACTGCTTACGTGCAAAGATGCACTATTTCTATTTACATGACATTTTCACTAATGTGTATACCATAATCTGCCAAGTATAATGCAGTGTTTAAAGATTATAATTGACGCACCTGTCAATTATAAACAAATTACAGCGTAGTATAAGAGTCTGGAGCTTTTCAGAGTCTTTTCCGGGTTTAAAGCTTGACAGATTTGTGACCGTTGATCTGTCTTCTAGCGATGACTGGTGCTGCGTCACCTCCCTCACTCATCCACCAACAAGAGAAATAATGATCCAAATTAGGAAGTTTGGTAGACAGGATTCATCACCGAGCGCATGACCTGAAAGAATACAATGATCATTTTGTATTTTTTTGGCTGTTACAATGATCATATATAAAAAAAATAAGAAACAAGAAATACTTAAAGTTGTCTCACCTGTTTGAATACAGAAGGAAGAGTTGGTGTGTAGGGATGCGCGTGATGAGGCTGGCTCCACAGGGTCACTGATGCTCACTGATGCTCACTTCACCTGTTGATCCTGCACACGTGCTGACTCCTCTGACGTCACTCTTTGCCATCGCGAAACTTTCGCGTCAAGATGTTTACGCAAGTTTCTTCTTATTTGATCGGCATTGTTAGGGTAAGGTGAACCCTGTCAACATCTGGAAGCCATTACACGAATTTTATGTTTGACGAAAGAAATTTGTATCTACGAAATAGTGGAAATAAAGGGTCACGAAAATTAAGATGTGGCGTAACTTTTGAGTATGGACCGCGCGAGGCGACTCAGCCTCAGTAGCTCCTGGGACGTGGCTTGGGAAGGATGTGTTATGTCTTCATCCGGGGGCTAGCCTCAGCTTCCGTTTTCATTTACAAGTACTCTTTCCTTGGATAGAACCTGAATGAATGCCTCCCACACCCCACTGGCTAGAGGTTCTAGTATACTGGAACTTAGGATCAGTCACTTTCACCAGACGAATTCTGAGCATTATGACTGCGCAGTGTATGTATGTATGTATATATATATATATATATATATATATATATATATATATATATATATATATATATATATATATATATATATATATATATATATATCCCACCGTGGCAGGGTGACCCATAAAGAAAAACATGAAGTAATTTATACAGGAGAAGGGGTTACAAGCCGCTTGATCCCGACATTTTAGTCGCCTCTTATGACACGCAAGTCTTACAGAAGAAAAATTCTTTTCCACTTCTCCAAGGAGATAAGAGGAAATAAACAAGAACAAGAACTAGTAAGAAAATAGAAGAAAATCCAGATGGGTATATATATATATATATATATATATATATATATATATATATATATATAATATATATATATATATATATATATATATATATATATACCGGCCGTATCCCACCGAGGCAGGGTGACCCAAAAGTAAATACGAAGGTTTTTCCTTCTAATTTAGTAATATATACAGGAGAAGGGGTTACTAGCCCTTTGATCTCGGCATTTTAGTCGCCTCTTAACAACACGCATGGCTTGTGGAGGAAGACTTCTGTTCCACTTCCCCATGGAGATAAGAGGAAATAAACAAGATCAAGAACTAGTAAGAAAATACAAGAAAATCCAGAGGGGTGTGTATATATATGCCTGTACATGTATGTGTAGTGTGACCTAAGTGTAAGTAGAAGTAGCAAGACGTACCTGAAATCTTGCATGTTCATGAGACAGAAAAAAAACACCAAAAATACTACCATCATGTAAAACAATTACAGGTTTCCGTTTCACACTCAGTTGGCAGGACGATATATATATATATATATATATATATATATATATATATATATATATATATATATATATATATATATATATATGTATATATAAATATATATATATATATATATATATATATATATATATTATATATATATATATATATATATATATATATATATATATATATATATATATATATATATATATATATATATATATATATATATATATATTTATTAACAAGTCGGCCGTCTCCCACCGAGGCAGGGTGACCCAAAAAGAAAGAAAATCCCCAAAAAGAAAATACTTTCATCATTCAACACTTTCACCACACTCACACATAATCACTGTTTTTGCAGAGGTGCTCAGAATACAACAGTTTAGAAGCATATACGTATAAAGATACACAACATATCCCTTCAAACTGCCAATATTCGGAACCCGTTCTTGAGAGTGCATGCATTGTACTTCCCATTTCCAGGACTCAAGTCCGGCTATATAAAAATAACCGGTTTCCCTGAATCCCTTCACTAAATATTACCCTGCTCGCACTCCAACAGCTCTTCAGGTCCCAAATACCATTCGTCTCCATTTACTCCTATCGAACACGCTCACGCACGCTTGCTGGAAGTCCAAGCCCCCTCGCCCACAAAACCTCCTTTACCCCTTCCTTTCAACCTTTTCGAGGACGACACCTACTCCGCCTTCCTTCCCCTACAGATTTATACGCTCTCCATGTCATTCTACTTCGATTCATTCTCTCTAAATGACCAAACCACCTCAACAATCCCTCTTCAGCCTTCTGACTAATACTTTTATTAACTCCACACCTTCTCCTAATTTCCACACTCCGAATTTTCTGCATAATATTTACACCACATATTGCCCTTAGACAGGACATCTCCACTGCCTCCAACCGCCTCCTCGCTGCAGCATTTACAACCCAAGCTTCACACCCATAGAAGAACGTTGGTACTACTATACTTTGTGTACGAATGGTATACAATACCGACAAGATGAGATTAAGACACATGTGCAACATCTGGGTATCTTTATTGTAGACGTTTCGCCATCCAGTGGCTTTATCAATACAAATTCTAGGACATAACTTGAAGACAGTAGAACTATGTACAGAAGATGAGGTAATCAGTCCCTCAACCTAGGAGTAGGTGCGAAGAGCACCATAGTCGTGGAGATTCTGAAGCAGAAGAAAGGATCTTCTGTACATAGTTCTACTGTCTTCAAGTTATGTCCTAGAATTTGTATTGATAAAGCTACTGGATGGCGAAACGTCTACAATAAAGATACCCAGATGTTGCACATGTGTCTTAATCTCATCTTGTCGGTATTGTATACCATTCGTACACAACTTGTCAGACACTGCAACATCATGGAATCTTAATTCTGAGGACATGTACATAACCTTCACGACTACGACAACTACTACTACAACTAACCCATCTCTTTGGGAAGGACCTACTTCCACTGGGGAATCCCGCCTACCAGTGAATATGCCCTCGTCTGCTACACCTGACGTTACTGTATAAGCGCCAGGATCCTTTCTTCTGCTTCAGAATCTCCACGACTATGGTGCTCTTCGCACCTACTCCTAGGTTGAGGGACTGATTACCTCATCTTCTGTACATAGTTCTACTGTCTTCAAGTTATGTCCTAGAATTTGTATTGATAAAGCCACTGGATGGCGAAACGTCTACAATAAAGATACCCAGATGTTGCACATGTGTCTTAATCTCACTACTATACTTTCATACATTCCCTTCTTTGCCTCCATAGATAATGTTTTTTGTCTCCATATATACCTCAACGCACCACTCACCTTTTTTCCGTTATCAATTCTATGATTTACCTCATCCCTCATGAATTCATCTGCCGACATGTCAACTCCCAAATATGTGAAAACATTCGCTTCTTCCATACTCCTCCCCAATTTGATATCCAATTTTTCTTTATGTAAATCATTTTATACCCTCATCACCTTACTCTTTTGTATGTTCACTTTCAACTTTCTACCTTTACACACACTACCAAACTCATCCACTAAACTTTGTAATTTTTCTTTAAAATCTCCCATAAGCACAGTATCATCAGCAAAAAGTAACTGTGTCAATTCGCATTATGTATTTGATTCCCCATAATTTAATCCCACCCCTTTCCCGAATAACCTAGCATTTACTTCTTTTACAATCCCATCTATAAATATATTAAACAACCATGGTGACATTACACATCCCTGTCTAAGACCTACTTTTACCGGGAAGTAGTCTCCCTCTCTTCTACACACCCTAACCTGAGACTCACTATCCTCATAAAAACTCTTTACAGCATTTAGTAACTTACCACCTATTCCATATACTTGCAACATCTGCCACATTGCTCCTCTATCCACTCTATCATATGCCTTTTCTAAGTCCATAAATGCAATAAAAACTTCCCTACCTTTATCTAAATACTGTTCACATATATGCTTCAATGTAAACACTTGATCTACACATCCCCTACCCACTCTAAAACCTCCTTGCTCATCCGCAATCCTACATTCTGTCTTACCTCTAATTCTTTCAATTATAACTCTGCCATACACTTTTCCTGGTATGCTCAGTAAACTTATTCCTCTATAATTTTTACAATCTCTTTTGTCCCCTTTCCCTTTATATAAAGGGACTATACATGCTCTCCGCCAATCCCTAGGTACCTTCCCCTCTTTCATACATTTATTAAACAAAAATAGCAACCACTCCAAAACTATATCTCCCCCTGCTTTTAACATTTCTGTCATGATCCCATCAGTTCCAGCTGCTGTACCCCCTTTCATTCTATGTAATGCCTCACGTACCTCCACCACACTCACATCGTGCTCTTCTTCACTCCTAAAACATGGTATACTTCCCTGGCCAGTGCATGAAATTACCGCCTCCCTTTCTTCGTCGACATTTAAAAGTTCCTCAAAATATTCTCTCCATCTACCCAATACCTCCATCTCCCCATCTACTAACTCCCCTACTCTGTTTTTAACTGACAACTCCATTCGTTCCCTAGGCTTTCTTAACTTGTTTAACTCACTCCAAATTTTTTTCTCATTTTCATTAAAATTTCTTGGCAGTGCTTCTCCCACTCTATCATCTGCTCTCCTTTTGCACTCTCTCACCACTCTCTTTATCTTTCTTTTACTCTCCATATACTCTACTCTTCTTATAACACTTCTGCTTTGTAAAAACCTCTCATAAGCTAACTTTTTCTCTTTTATCACACCCTTTACTTCATCATTCCACCAATCACTCCTCTTTCCTCCTGCACCCACCCTCCTAAACCACAAACTTCTGCCCCACATTCTAATACTGCATTTTTAAAACTATTCCAACCCTCTTCAACCCCCCCACTACTCATACCTGCACCAGCCCACCTTTCTGCCGATAGTTGCTTATATCTCACCCAAATTTCCTCCTTCCTTAATTTATACACTTTCACCTCCTTCTTACTTGATGTTGCCATTTTCCTCTTTTCCCATCTACCTCTTGCTCTCACTGTAGCTACAACTAGATAATGATCCGATATATCAGTTGCCCCTCTATAAACGTGTACATCCTGGTGCCTACCCATCAACCTTTTATCCACCAATATATAATCTAACAAACTACTTTCAATACGTGGTGTATCATACCTTGTATATTTATTTATCCTCGTCTTCATAAAATATGTATTACTTATTACCAAACCTCTTTCTACACATAGCTCAATTAAAGGCTCCCCATTTTCATTTACCCCTGGCACCCCAAATTTACCTACTAATCCCTCCACAACATTTTTGCCCACTT